TAGTTTTCTTTAAGCTCCTGCCTGGCCAGGATATATCAAAGATGAGCGACGCAAGCTCAAAAGGAAATGGCGACAAAACAAGCAACTCATGAAACCAACGCTTATTTTTGGCTCTCATGGCCCATCGCACACTGCATCCTACCGAGAGGAATAGTAAATTATTAGGATAATAGCAATAAGCAACGAGGCAGCCACACCCCACAACATGAGCTTTTGTTGGGTCTCCCTGCGGCTAATGCTGGATATCAAGCGCCGGGCTGTATTGGTTAAGCCGCCAACCTCTGAAACCTGCAAATAGAAGATGTGAGCAAAGAATTGCAAATGAGGAGAAATCAAAAGCACCCCGGCGACACGCTACAAGACGCCTGGAGGTGCTCGAGGTACGTCCTCATAAGCCATGTGGAGAAATGGTGTTCGCGTACGCATTGGGAAAAGAAAACGCCAGAATCAACGATTTATCGATGCCTCGACTCATTTTTCCGCATCACGAGCACTATCCTTCAAAACCATCTTGAGGTCATTTCCTTGACTAGTTTCCTTGCGTGCTCCGTCATACCCTGCCCTTCACCTACCTAGAAAATGTGAAGCGATAAGGCAGCATGAGAAGCAGATCGCAACGAAAACACCATCTGAATATTACACAAACAGTACAAAGGCTCCAAACCCCCCTTCTCATAGCCTCCTGAAAGGCTGTTTGGCCGAGATCTTTAACGTACCTTGCCTCGAATACTCTGAATTTTTTCCCGGTTCGATTCCAGCTCCTCTCCGATATGAATGCCTGCAAGCGCGTGGGTGCATGCAAGGGTCAGGACGTGCCAAAGACTCCTCGCCCATCTCGGATTGCATGCGGCCCCCTATTCCTCTCCCACGTACCGACTTGCTCCGTCTCCGCCATCACCTTCCGCGCGTTGTCAATAGTCCGGTTTTGGTGCGCCAGCCTCTCGCTCGTCTCGAGCAATCTTTGTCGCTGCACCATCGACACGCCCCCCCCCGCTCCTAGCAACGCGTCCTTCTCCTCCCGTTCCCGCGCCCGGCCCAGGTCGGCCTTGACCCCGGTCAAGACCCTCTCGTAGGTCTGCACTTTGGCGGAGAGGGCGGCTTTCGTGCCCGCGTCCAGCGAACGGACCTCCAGCTTCATCTGCTTGATCAGGCCCTCGAGCTGGGTGACCTGAGGGGAGGCTTGCCGGAGAAGGCTCTGTATCTTGTCGCCATGCGTCTCGTAGGTGAGGAGGTTGGAGAGCTTCTTCTGACAATCGCCCGCCAGCGCGCGGAACTCGTCTTCATAGGACTCGAAGATGTCCGTCATGGCGATGGACCGGCCGTGCGGGGGG